CACCAAACAATTCAGAAACTTTTAGCCTTCGAAAATGAAAACAGTTAGCAGTGTCTAAGGGCTGTGTAATTTCCTGTTTGTCCGACGCTTCGTTTTCGTGTCACTGTCAAAATTATTGCTACCTTTTACTTAACAGGGACTAAATGGTCTCTATAAAACGATAATAGGATCGCAAAAAAAGTCAACTGATTTGAAACACTTGCCGGACGTCTCTCTCACTTCTGAAATCCGCCTCGGTGATCATGGGCTGGTCCGGAATCTATTTCTTTCAAAAGTGTTGCGCCAGGTTTACGTTGTCGGCGTTTCTCTTTAAACCTAGTCGTTTTTTTATGGACGAGGACAGTTGAATGAATCTAAGGTTAAGTGATGTCGCACCTTCGGATCGATTAGAAACGTGTGAATACATACACTATGGCTATACGTTTCACTGCAACTGCCCACAACACAACATCTAAAAACTCTATCTCAAAAAAAATAAATAAAATAGACAAAAAAAAAAGAAAAAACGCCGACCTAAAAATGTATATCGTTTAAAAGTGTACTGAACGACTAGTGTTATTACGGCTCAGGCGTATGACTTCCTCTCACACTTTGTCATTTGGTGGCGCACTTTCGGCGAGAGTCGGAAATCCGGAAACAGTCGACCGTTTCACGATAGGTGGGCGTGGCTACAACACGAGAAATATTCCAAATTTACTTGAATACGAGTAATCATTTTCAGCAAAAAAATCAATAACTACGCTTTTCTGTGGGACACAGATCTAAAATGTGAAACGTGAGGGTGGACATTGCACAGGCACTTTAATTAACTGTTTTTGTACGTGAGGATCAAAACAAAGTTTAGAAACACGTAGCTGGGAGTTCAAAACCTTCTCGAAAAAAGAACACGAGATCGTCATTTGTATGCACAATTAAAGGAGAATTTTGACCGATAAATGCCTGGGCAACAACACTACATATATGGTCTCTAATACCTAGGCAACATTACAAATATGACTTCAACTACCTCGGCATGAATGTTTAAGTTTTATCCATTAATACATTAAAGATAAGGCTTAGGCAACATCGTTTAAATTATGGCCTCTGATACCTAGGCAACAACAAGCAATGTTCCAAGAGTTACCAGCAATATATTGGCATTGGTTGTTGCTAAGAAGCAATGCATTGCCCCATATCGTCACTCACACACGCGCGGGAATTGAGTCCCAAGCGACGATAACAACACACGCTAAAAACACAAAGGCTCATGTAAACAATGGCACGCTATGGCCATCTGACGCATGCGCACGTGACGAATCCCCCGCTTTGATGAAAATAAAGTACACTTTGTGCAATTGTCCCTTTTGGTGTGTATGATGGACTCTACACGAGTGGGTATAGAAGATAAAATTAAATCGTTATCCATCGGAAACACGAAACCATGAAAAGGTGCCATATATACAGTCATTTAATTCATAGTGGGTTGAGCGGAGAAGAGGGTACTAACTTCTTATTATTGTTGAAAAGTTTGACCATCCAGTTTGCCTTTCAAAGTGACCATTTCCATATATACAAATGCTCCAGCAAATGTCAGACTTGCCTTTTCTTTGGTACTTGGAAATAAATGTTGTGACATGTGGCAAATGTCCCGCCCCTTGGGAAATAAAATCGGCTAAATTTCCCCCAAAACAGACAAACCAGTTCACCTAATTGTATGAGGCTAATGATTTTGATTTCAGCAAAAGAAACTGCACATACATATGTAGACACGATCAGAAAAACTTCCTTGGAATACTAAATGTGACAATTGCCTTACTCCCTGTGCTGATTATGATGGTAAAACCCACCTTAAATGTGCTACATATAACCATAGACCCTATAACAGGCCAATCAGAGAATTCTAAAATAAAGATAATTCTTCACAAATGATAGAGGGCGCTATAACCAAACATTCGTCTTCATTTACAATACTAGTATTGTACCTGATATAAACCATTACAGAATACAAGGTTACTTCTTGCAGTCACTTGTGATACCGCAACACGGCAAGAGCATTAGCAAAAAACAGAAAATGTAGCAGACAAAAAATGAATCAAAGTAAACGCCATCTGGCACGTTGCATGCTGGGAAATATGATAAAAAGTGAGCTGGATGAATGCAAATCGTATGTGTTCAGTCGTAGCAGTGTGCTTTGCACAGTCGCGAAGTTTGGACGCAACTGAACGTAGATTTTGTGCACGCGTCGGGCAGCGGGCTTTAGAATATTTTGCTAAAAATGTTTATGAATGTTTTGAAGTTAGTTGTCATAAGGACATATCGAATTTGGATCCCCATTTCTACAACAGTGAGAGATAAAACATTGGTTTACCCTATCCACTGTTTACATAAAGTTGATACTATAGTAACCGGTCTAGTCGTCATCGTTTCATTTGCATTCAAAAGTATATATCACAAGAAAACATCTCGAACAAGAAAAAATCAGTGGGAAATAGACCACTAGTATTGTCCGAGATTGTCAAAAAAAGCAAAACAAAACTGAAAACAAAGCTACGTCACCACCAACATCTTTCCTATCCATAGTCTACTATGGGTGCCAGAGTGTAGTTATACAAAAATAGAAAATTTTATGTTTAGAATGTAATCAGAATAATTACATGTTAAACAAATTCACTGGCCAATCGACATGAGTAAAACTTTAAAGGCGGCGGTCGTCGCACCGCGTCTTGTTAGATATAGAACTCATAGCGACGTATACAACGCGTGTAAAATACAATGTTTATTTACGTGAAATTCGAACACGTGATACGCTACGACCACCGCCCTCTAAAATAGCGACGGAAACAGTTTTTTCTTTCTTTTATTTATGAAAACAGGGATAGGAAACAAAAGTAGACAGTTGTCTCTGCAAAAAACAAAACAAAACTGCCTAAAAATAAACATTATATCAAACTTTATATTATAACAAGTAGATTGAATTGTTCTAGTTACGGATAACATGACCATGTCCATTTTTTTTTTAGAAACCACACCCACTTTTGCGAAACAACGCCCAAATTGTAACTCGATGTTGAACAGTTACATATTTTGTTGTTGTTGAACCTCCACATTTTGTAACTCGAACTTTAATTAACAGTTGAACAAACATCGAGTTACGGGCAACAATGATTTTTTTTGTTTTGTCTGACGTTAGTGTTAATTAAAAGTTAACCGAATTTCGAGTTAAAAAAACCTAAATCATTTTTGTAATTCGATGGTTTTGTAACTCGAACAATTCAGCATCTCTACACTGTGGCACAGCATTGATTACAGAGATAACAAATGTAAAAAGTAACAACTATATGTCTATATGTTAAATCCATCATCTATGTCACGGTTACTAGTAATCGTGGTTATGTGCATTATTTAAACGGACTACAGCGGGCGCAAGATATTTACATACAACCCCCGTCCCTCGAGCTTGAGGGACTACTTGCCGCATGTGGCAGGCAATTAACTCTGACTTTGCAACATCACCAGAAACTTTCCTGAACACTCCAGTGACCGTTGTAGACGCAATAAATTTACATACCCACCCACGTGACAGTTAATCAAAAAAAACGTACGCGGTATGTATTTAATCACGGCGATTTAATGTATGGCCAAGGGAGACGACGTAGTTGCATTGTAGGTACAACAATCATTGCTGTGTAACACTTGGAAGAAATATAATACATAAAACTGGGAATGAATATTAACTAGGAATGATATTATAATGTAAATTCCGTTGGTAGTGTTGTCATTGCGCTTATACGACTAGTAATAATATCAGCGTTGTGAGTGCCTCGTTCTACGGTATAGTAGTTCATTTCTCGTATAATGGCATGTCCCATTGCCAGTTCCCAGAACTTTCATCGCCCAGTCAATCTTTCTTAGAATCTTCTACTTTCAATTTCACCTCCATACAGTCACCATATACCAGTTGCAAATACCCTTCAGTTCTGACACTAAATTTGATAAACGATTTCTTGTGTAGCCTTTAGTCGACGAGCCGACGGCCGCTGCTCCTGTCGAAACGTATCCAACGGGTGCGACGGTAATGCCGCACAATTTGATCATTTGAACCGTTGCCCTCGCTTGTCCAACTTTATTGGCGATCGATCGTGCGCACACTATTTCCACCTAAGAAAAGGCGAATAACCTGACGTTCGAGTTTCTTCTTCTACACGCTTTGACATAATCATGGCAATAATTGTACCATCAACGATGAGTTCAAAATCGGAACCTGCATTCAAAGCTAAACTTTTCTCACGAGGGTAATTAAGGTAATTTCATTATACATGTATGTAAAGGATATATTTTAAAGGGCGATAGTCGTCGCGCCGCGCATGTGCGACATTTGTGTTGATAAACATTGATTTTCTCATAACTCAATGTGCCTTTCTAATGAAATAAAACCTTCAAAACACCACCAAAATATACCCAGCTGAAGCTTGGTAACCTCTCAGTTTGCACTCGTAACGGTAAAAATCGCCATCTTGGTTTATATGAGACACAGATCTCGCAGATTTTCGTGAAATGTTCAAAATAGAACGAGCATATTTATGCATGAAATAATAACATTGTTTGATAAAGGGAAACAGACTCGACTAGCCATATTGTGCTATTTCTGTTTCTATTATTATTATTATTATTATTATTATTATTATTATTATTATTATTATTATTATTATTATTATTATTATTATTATTATTATTATTATTATTATTCGCCATAGAATGTAAGTATTACAGGGGAATCAATAAATAAGTAAAGTAAATAAATACAAGTAAATTGTGAAAATATGTGAGATAATAATAATAATAATAATAATAATAATAATAATAATAATAATAATAATAATAATAATAATAATAATAATAATAATAATAATAATAATAATAATAAACGTAGGCTGTAAACTGTAACTTGCGTCTATAACGGTCACTGGAGTGTCTGGAAATGTTGCAAAGTCCCCCGTTAATCGCCTACCGGGTGCGGGAATTGTATGCACAGTGCACAGTCCCTCCTAAGTTGCGCCCACTGTAAACACGAGAAATGAATTTCCCAACAAACATTTCCTGACGTAGAGGTCAAAGGTTTTGTTTTGTAACCCAGATCCGCCATCAGTTCCAGGAAGCGAAGTGAGTTTTCCAACAACCGCTCGAATGAGTATTTTACATGAAATATAACGCAGTATTTGAAGAAAAAAACACTAAAAAAGACACTTTTGTATGTCTTGTTAATGTCCGATCGACGTCACAGACCCTAATTCGAATATGCCGCCAAAAAGAAATCGCGATGAGAGGCGGAGCGGCGCTACATCAAACTTTGGAAATAGGCCACCGAAACAGAATTCATATGCGTCAGCGGTTAAAAATGAGCAAGAAGATGCGTTCAAACAGCTACAAGAAGTATTTGCAGGAAGTATAGATCCTGAAGTCATTTATATGATATTATCGGAGAATGATTTCAAAGGTAAGGAACGAGAAATGGTCTGAAAATTGTACACGACTTCGAACTCATCCAGACTGACCAAAGTTGTACTGTATGTCTACTGTACAAAGGTCATTTTATATACTGTACTGTTACGTGCTGTACAATGTTTCACGTCCGCTTAGCCAGTCCTATCTTTGCACGCATACCTGTAATGCAGATCTAACTGGAGCCAATTTTTATGGTACACATCTCATAGTAATTTCCCTACTCCAGATCTAAACACGTACATGTATGGTTGCCAGAGTGAGCGTTATTAATCCTCTGGTGGCAGGTGGTCGGTTGCCAACTCAAAATCGCAATAGATCGGGTGAACTTATACGTAGTAAATTGATGCAAACTGTTTTTGATGAAACTATCTATCACAAACTATCATGATAACAAGAAACTTGACTATGTTTGTAAAAAGATTAATTGAACTTCTAATTGCAAGTTACAGATGTGAATCAAGGCATACACCAAGTATGTCATGTGGTAGTCAGATTCACCAAAAATGGTAAGAATTTTGTCAGAAAATACCAAAAATGATAACATTTCTTCAGAATTTTAATGACATGACAAATATCAAATTTCCTATGTGGTACTCGGTGTCAAAAACTGGATCCGCTCCTGAGATACTAGTTGAATTCTTGTGCACATGGATTTAACGTTATTGCTGTTGTATATCACAGACCCTTTATCCCCGGTCTGGAAACCCTTAGCAGTATATTGTCCCAGGGCTGGTTGCAGGTAAATAAACCGTTCACTCCTTGGACAATTAGCCACAAAGCTGAGCGTACACTAACTTAAGCACTGCAATCACAAACTGCAAACAGAACAGAACATATTACTGTGATTTATCATAATACGAACATCCGAGAAAAAAACTTACCACATCACCAAAAAGTAAATATACATATCACATTCACATGAAAAATTAAAAAAATATTATGGTTGAATGCAGTTTTCTTACTATAAGAGGGGCCAACCCACTGATAACGCAACAAGTAAGTTCAGTAAATCAAAAACAAAATGGCACCCATAAATTATACTGTATATAATAATATAACAAAACAAGCACAATAAACCGATCCACCAACTACAACTAGATTTAGATCTTTCTAAAACGCATGACGAATAGAAAGAGCCAACTTGTCTATCAGGAATTTATGCTTGTCTTTACTGTCATTATATTGCTGAATTTTATTTCTTTTCAAACCACAAGAGATTTTCCCACTGAACAACTTAACTGAAATGCAACAAATTCTTGGTTTAGTTGTAAAGCGTGAATAAAAATAAAGTTCCTCGATTAGAAAATTGACATTTTCCACCTGTAACAGATCAATCAAATTCTTTCCTATTGAATTAAGGAACGACGTCAAAAGAGCGATGTCGGATAACAAACTTAATTCCTTTAGTTTTTTTCCAAACCCCCCTACCACCCACTAAAATTTAATTGATAAATATTGGTCATGGCGTTAGACTACATTCACCATTAAATACAAATTGATAATCGGACAGTAGTATTGCATAGCAGTTGGTTGTTGGGTGGGTGTAAACAGATTTTACAAATGCACCTCATTTGACGCACAGATTTACACTCGAACCAAACCATTTTCTCGTCTTGGATGGGTTTTTTTTCTTTTCGGTTATTTCTGTCCATGATTGGATAGAAAAAAAAAGAACTACAAATACTCCAAGATTTTTTTGACTTCATTAAAAAATAAAATCGTTTTTGTAGGATGAAAACTATTTGCTTGTCTGAAAGACTAGTAAGTAAGCAACATTATCGCATTGGCCTGTGGGTAATATTATAAGATTTTTCAACTCACGGTTAATTTATAATCAAATTCATTATAAAAATGTTTCTTTGTACATCTCTGAAGTTTATTATCATAATATGAGCTACAAACATTTTGTTGACTCTGTAACATAGTAAAATCATGTGAAATTTGGTCTGATGACAGAGCAATGTGTGAGGGTTTACCAATAGAACCTACAAACTAATTATAGAAGTTTCAACATTATCTTTCAAAGTTACATTAAAACGAGTGTGATACAATAAATTACGATAATTATTACGAACACAGAAAAAGTAAAATTCAAAATAAGCAAAATTATTTTAATTTGATTTAAACATAAATGATATTCAAATGATGTCACACCTCAGACTAAGTAACCATAAGCTAGAAACGACCTAAATTACCTAAGGAGGATAGACTATGCTAAAAGTACAATATTGTGGGAAATGAAATTCATTTTATTACAACCTGCAACAGTTATGAACGTGCAAAAATGTATCGCCATTTCTCGAAACAAATTCTAGACTTTGATTACCTATCTAAGACAAACAAGTTTATTCCAACAATGAACACTCAAGACATACACCTGATCAGACAGGTTGTTCATTATTTAAAAACTTCATTTAGTAAACATATACACTGTAGTACTCTTTTTTTTTTGATCTGTGTCTTTATTGTCTTGTACTTCTACTTTTATATACTTTATTATTTCAACTTAAGATGAACTGTCATTATTCATTAAAATGTAATAAAGATAATATTATTATTTGTATAGACATATAGAGATAGAAAATGAAGAAATCAAAATAAATAATGTCTCAGTATTAAATCTAGATCTTGAAGAAGTATGTTCACAATAAACTTAACAAGTCAACTTAACAATGACAGAGTAAACAACTGTATTCAGATTTGAGTACATGTACATATAAGAGACTGGGAGAAGACAATTTTGATCAAAACGGTCAATTGGTAAATAAATACTATGACTCCCAAATTTATGTTCGAATGAACATTTTTATCATGTGAACCACTGTTTGATAATTTTGCTTTTAAATCTGATAAATTCTTGTTTGTTACTAAATGAAGATAAATATAATTAAATCTATTTTTTGTTGTAGATTGTTATGTTTGGGGGAGGTAGATATAACATCTAGAGGACACCTGATTTGGCCACATGTATTTTAGGATCAGCAAGGCCAGTGTGACCTCTGATTAAACTGTTTGTGTATACTGATCAGAAACCAAAAACCTGACTACACCACCATATGATAAATTATATAAGGCAATAAAACTATTTTGGTTTCTATGACTACACAAATTTTGTCAAACTAATGGACTAAAATACAAAGTATACTCAAAGTTTATGTTCCAAAATTATTATTAGACAAATTAAAACATTGTGCCAACTATTTAGAATTTTTTTTTTTTCAATTGTGACTTAATAGTTTATTTTAAGGGGCTTTTAAATCATACTGAAGTGACCTTGGTATGTAAAGATTTATTGGTTAAACGGGTGAAAGATTAATCAAATTGGTTGAAATATCACAATTAGGACTTGTCTGTACATGTTTGCATAATGCACGCCTACGCTCATTGCGCATTTGAAATGTTCAATTCAGATTTTGAGGTTAAATCACACTTTATTCGGTTTTGTTAAATAGCAATAACTGTATGGCATGGCTTACCATACATATACATATATGTTTTAATGTGTCTATTGTCCATGTATAGAGTACTTTAAAGGTATGTAACATATTGATTGTTATTTCAGTTTGCCTTAAAGTTAATTATTGAAATATTATGACTCGAATATTCCACCACTCTGTCCTATGTAGGATATGGATTGGACGATACAAGATATCAGATATTCCAGACGAGTATTGTCTCATACAGCAGGGTTATAGTCAGAAATGAAATTTGCCCATCGAAAAACAATATAAAAATAAATGACAAGTAGTATGTTTTGTTTTAAAGAATGCAGTTCCGGTTCCATATCTCTGACATGCCTGGACTGATCAAGTTCAAACTTCACATACTGTAAAATAACTAATTTTCACTGGGTTTAAATTTTGCTGATTTAGCATTTCATGCATATTCAGTGGGTTTTAAATTCATGGTTTTATCATTTAGATAATGTGTTCTATGCTAAGTTTTACATATTCACTGGATTTTAATTTTAATAGCGCATTTTCCAGTCAGCGAAATAAGCAAAATTAAAACCCAGTGAATAATTAATCTTTTTACAGTATACATCAGATATCATATTGGACAAATGCACATAGCATCAATCCCTGAATTCCATATGACATGTTTCACTACATCAGCTAAATGTTTAATTTCAAGCTGGAAGAGTTGCTATCTCGACAAGTACTTCTGAGTGTATAGTGTACCGGTATATGCATATTTATGATATATGGCCTGTTGTTTGCCCTTTGAAAAGGTATTACTTAATGACAGGAATCTAATTTTATCTGCTCTCCAAAAAACATGATGTCTTAAACATGTTAATACAATGTGACAATATTAATGTATTTGCTGTTGACTGAGTAATGGTTATTTGCCTCAGACAAACAGTCAGCTACTTCTTTTGTTGAAATTGTAAACCTTTGAGAAGGGCCATAATACTGTGATATTTTAATATTGTACATGTACTAAAATTGGTTGCTGTGTTTACAATTGGATGACAATTATATTTTACCAATCATCGATATTCAATCCTTTCAAATAGGATTGATAATAAACTGTTTGCTCAGCTTCTTGCTTATGACATTTTACGTTTACCCGTAGATAAATTGACACCACTGAATAATCCTGTTTTCATGTCATGTACTCTGAACTTTCTTTATTTTTGCTTAATTAATAGTGGGTGTTGTTTCTTATTTCGTTGTCTTTTTTTTCTTCTATTCATATACAGTTGATGTGGCATTGGACATTCTTTTTAAACTCAATGATCCATCAGTGGACATACCTGACAGTACTCCTCCACCCAAACTAAGTTTTAGCAACATGATGAACCTAGACGAGCCAGAGAAAAGCAGCAGCACCACTGTTAGCACCACTGTTAGCAGCACTGTCAGCACCACTGTCAGCACCACTGTCAGTACTGATTCCAGCAGGTCAAAGTACAGTAAGAGCAGTTATGCAAACAGAAAGCCGGGTAACGTTATCATCCATGATGGCCGAATGACTGACGATGAGATCAAAAATAGTACTGTTACGGAATTGTTTCATGATCCACGCTGGAAGGACAACCTACAATTAGGAATTAATGGATACATTGCAGATAAATTGAAAGTTTATCGTAAAGACCCACCAACGATACCGGCAGACCGTAATATGGCTTCATGTGCATTAAGCCCTGTGGATCCAAATCTCATAGAAATTTTTCCAAATCCAGCCTATTTTCGGAGATTTTATGATTCTGGTGGTTGTAAATTCAACATTCGTGCTTGGGATCTTGGATGTAAAGTGGTAGAAAAGCCTGATCCGCCTGATCCAGCTGATCCGGATAGTTTACAACTTCAGAAAGTTTCTGAACAGGTATCTGAATCCTTGCCCAGTGGGAAAGTGCTTTGTTTAATGCGAGGGCTTCCGGGAAGTGGAAAATCAACTCTAGCAAGGTAAAATATCATTAATGTTTAATGTAAAATATTGATTATTAGTAAAATGATATACTCAATATAATCAGTTTATGATATTATCTAACATAACTATTTTTGTATTTGGGCCATGCTGTGGTTCCATCAGTGGCTATATGATATGGTGAAAAATAAATAAAATTTAGATTAAATCGTGCATGTGATATTCTGTCACATTATTTTTGGCAACTCGTGAACTCATGTACCTAAGATTACTGTCACATGCATACAAACAAACGGGTGTTATCAGGATTTCACACATGTATACATGTAATCAAACATGTAGGTATACCTACCACACAGTAATATTGGCATTTATGTTTTTTGTGTTTATTTTGCAATGGTATACATACTGTTTTATGAGACAGCAGATTGTACGAGTTTCTCTGACAAAAAATTGCGCTTGTAGTATATTGATGTATTCTCATTACCAGACAATTGGTTGGTGGTGGTAGTATCTATAGCACGGATGACTATTTTTGGCGAAACGGCAGATATCAGTATATTCCTTATGAGGTGGGACAGGCACATGAATGGAATCAGAAACGAGGTGAGATTTGGTTTATTACTCAGGCATCTTCTTGGGCTTTTATCAAAAATGAAACATCCTGCACCCCTTCTAAATTTGTCAGTGTGGATTGGGGTTGCTTTCAAACACTTGCAATGCATGAAAGTTCACTTCTGCTGTTCATGATTATGCATACATGATTAAGTTGCACATGGTTATGATTGTAAGACTTTCTGTTTCATTTCAGCTAAGATTGCAATGCAGATTGGCAGAACACCAATCATAATTGACAATACAAATGTACAGTTCTGGGAAATGGTTCCCTACGTTTCCATTGTAAGTGGCATTTTCAATTATAAATCACCCAGAGTTTTTTGTACCTGTGTGAGTGTGCAATGGACTTAAATGTAAAACCTGAAGCCACTGTTACTAATGTGTCTGACTTTAGTGGCTACTTCGATGTGGTCTACAAGGGATTGTGTTTGACTTGGCCTGGTTGATGCCAAGACAGTCCATTGAATTGTCATTATGCCAGAAAGTTTGCCATACAGCCCTTTTATATACCGGTACATTTGTCGTCAGAATCGCACATGAATGGTTTCTACAACAAGTCAGGAAAATGTAATTATTGAGAATCCAGAGCACAATTGCAAAAATGCTTGTTTAATCTGTATCTTAAAAATCTTTTTCAGTTGACTTTGAACTTGGTACTTGCATATACTGTGTGCTTAATTGAATGTCAAACCCTCGTTTGTAATTATTCTGTCCAAATTAATTTACATACTACCGGGGGGTAATTACTGGTACCTACTTTCAGCATGTTTTGTTCATATTTTAATAGTTTTCTGAAATGTATTAAAACTTAATACACATCCACATTTTGTGTAGTCGCATGACTGATAATTGTTTGAAAATGAAAAAATTTGCATAATTAATTGCTTTTAGCATGTTTACTTTGTATCATTGTAGATGAAAGGTAATGTGTATGATGGGAAAATGTCTTTCTTTATTTTCATTGTTGTCGTTTTTGATTATGATGACTTTCCAAGCTGTATTTTCCTCACAAAATGCTTAAAATAATATACTTATGCTCACTTTTGGCATGCCAAGAAAAAAATGAATATTAATTAGCTGTGAATATTAATTAGCTAATTTGCATACTAATTATAACTGTTTCTCAAATGGAGTGAACTGGTACATAAATGCTTGTGTAGGTAAATGAAAATCATTTGTCTGCAGTTTATCTAGCTAATTTGAATACTAATTATGTGTAAATGGTATCAGCTTTTCTTTTCTGAAATATTCATAATATCAGTAGTCTCTGGACCAGAAAAATATTTCCAAGGAGTGTTCTTATATTTGTTTTGAATTGAACAGCTCAAATAACATGCATAATTAGCAACTATTTAAGGCACTGAAGCATATTAAGCTCATGTTTGGTTTGGTTATATATAATTCATCTCGCAGTAAAATCCATTTCATTCGCTAGTATAAAGTCACATTTGAATTACTGTAGAATACTTTATTTTCGCTTGGAATTTATTTTTGCTATTTTCACTGAAGGGATGATTCTGTGAAAATAAAATCCACCGAATATACTTTTTTTCCTACATTTCACATTAAAACTCATCAAAAATCAGTGAAAATAAATTCCATACAAAACACCCAAAGAGTCTTTTCAGCGAAAATTAATTCCAGCGAAAATAAAGTATTCCACAGTAATTACTTTTTTTAAAAATGTTATGACATAATAATTCAACATTTGAACCCTTTTCCTTTATAGCAACATTGCAGTGCCTAACTAAAATAGAATAATGTCGGAAATATTTTCACTGGCAATCCGGGATGTTATATTTAAATTATAACTACAAGCAGAAAAATAAAAGTATAACAATTAGGTGATCATGAGAAACGCAAAAGTATAGAAACTCTGTAGGCTGTATGAGATTGTGTTTTTGTTGTAGCACACAGATGTATAATAATTTGTTGTGATGACCCCCCCCCCCTCCCTCCCCACAAATCGTTTTGATTGCAATTCTGCTGATAAGTCAACATATCTTGGCTAGGCCTGTTTGAAAACGTATGTATGGTAATAAAGCATGCAAGATCAAATACAAAAATCTATTGTATTGTGTATTCCTGACAGGCTAAGATGCATGGTTATGAAGTTGTTTTGCGAGAACCTAACACCTCCTGGAAATTCAGTGTAGGGCAGTTAGTACGGTAAGTTTTTACTTTAGTTTCTTCAATGGCCATAATGTTTCCAACCAAAATTTTGATTCAGTATTTATCATATTTTAATTTTCTTTTCTATAATTTTTTTGGTTAAATTTTCATCAAATTGACATAATTCTCCATTGGCTGCAGGTTTTATTTTGGCC